ATCATGCTAGAGTTGTTCTCAGAGGCTGAGTCTAGCATCCGGGTAGGCTGGTGGCACTGAAGCTCTTTTCACAATCTCAACATACATTTGAATTGCAACACACAGATATTTCTAAAGAGTATTAACTAGTGAACCCTTTTATTATTAAAAAAAAAAAAACAACTACTTACAACCATTGAAGAAAAAATTGCAACAAAAAAAAGATGTAAAAATTGACCGTCTCCAACTTGTCCCCTTTACTATTAACAATGTAACCAACAGATCTGTGGCACGGACACAGTACAAAGAGTTGTCATGGCAATGAGTTTGGCTGATGCAAAGGTCATTGTGCAGGGTCAAAGGGCAAAAATCAGTGGTCCATGCTATCCCCCAACTGCAGTGCTCCACCCCACCCACACAATTTTTAAGGAATTCGAAAAACAGGGGAACTACCAGAAAGTGCAAAATATGAAGAAGGCAGCTTTCAGCTCCTTCAGCATGGAGTAAAACATTCAATTTCGAGTTCGAGCTTTTACTACTGAACTTGAATAGCCTGCACATTAAAAAAAAAAAAAAGAAAGAAAGAAAGAAAGAAAGAAAAGAAAAAGGAAAGAAAAAGAAAAAAAAAGTTTTCTATCGAAACCCAATTTTTTTAAAGTCCAGGAAGCATGCAGCTGGTTAATGTTAACAAAAGACCTTGACAGGAACATGTAAACTATATTGAATGTCATGCTCGGGGCCTATCTGCCAGCAATATTGTAGAGTTGTTTCATTAAAAATGAATACTGTACACTGAATATGGGATAACTTTCTGCAGCCTTCATCGTTTCACACGGTACCTAGATTTTGAATCTAGGGACAGCACATGTCCTAGTGTCGCACCACTGAAGATGTCCTTGTGCAATCTCTTTTGTTGAGTCCTTATGAAGCTACCAGTCCCAAATCCAATACTCTGCTCCCTGAGGACACGTTATGTGAGACATAGCACTGATTTCATTTTCTGCCTATCCCGAATGCTCTGTGAAACTTAACCTTAAATACCATCACGTAACAATCACAAAAACTTTTGCTAAAGGCCGTACATACTAATAAAAAGACAGCGGTGCTTCGGACATTCTGAAATGCTCTGAAAACCAACTTTCCCAATACTAAATACAACAAAATAACCTTCATAAAATATAACTTTTCTCCATTTACACTTTTTTAAAGGATTAGTAGCCTATGCTTTTCAAGCACAGGCATCTGTGAAATAACTCCTAACATGGACAGATTTTTTTTTTTTTTAATACATAACTTAAGAGGCTGGAGAGTTTTAACTCAAGTCCAGTCTCTAGACAAGGAATATTCTTGTTTACTTTAAAAATGGAAACAACATATAGTTCCATTATAATTGTTAAAAAGTTAGCTTTACAAACATGGGAATTTTAATTTAAAAAAAAATTCTTAACAAAACTATACAGTGTACAAATTACTGTCTACAAGGTAGGCGGTTCGTTAAGAAGATCTTTCGCTCTTCTTGCTACTTTGCAGCTTCACAGATTCATTCACATATTTTTTTTTTAATGGAGCTGCCCACCCGAACATTACCCCATAACTATATTGCTATAATTAAGATTCTTGCCATGTCTTTATGTACAGTCTCCTTCACTGCCTTTTATTTATTTATTCATTTTATTTTTTTCCCTTAGACAAGCCTCCAACGCTCATGTCACTCCAGAGGAAACTTCAGAGGCACTGTGAGTGGTGGCCGCAAAGCCATGCAACGAGACGGCTGAACAGCGCCGCCGCCGAACACACAGGGGGGCAGGTGACCTCCTGATGCCCTTGGGTGACCTTCGCCATCCTGAAGCTCTGCAGTTCTGGGGAAGGGAGGGGCGTGCAAGATCTGCAAGGGGGGGCCCTTAGTCAGAAGATCTACTTCCTGGTAAAAGAGGAGGAGGCCGAAAAATGGGATTTGAGATTTTCTACAGATAGTAGTATCTTTAATAGTTTTCTCACAAAAGGAAAGGAGAAAAAAAAATGGATTAAAAAAAACCAAAAAGCAACACTTGAACTAGGCCTTTGTGTTCAAGAGGCAGGCAGGAATACCCACAGTGTGTAACTGACTTAGCTAGAACTGCTCATTCTCTGGCAAAAAAAAAAAAAAAAAAAAAAAGAGAGCGAGTCTGCCCTTAAAAAATACTGCGTGTCCTGTGAGGTTCGATTTGTTCACCTACTAGGTCCAAGATACATGAAGAGCTTGGCTGAGATGAGCTGTTTCGTATCAGGGCAAGTATCACAGAAATGATTAGACTTACTTTCCAACTTGCGTGGCTAGGATCCTGCTGTGCTATGTGGCATGGGGGCTATCAGACTGAATGGGCTCATCAAATACAATTCTAGACCCATAAGCATTGTTCTAAAGTATCCATTATTAAATCATATGCTGTGAGAACAATGGACAGTTTATTTTATTAGGCCGTGGCCTGGGGGAAGGGGGTCAGGGGGCTCCTCAAGACAGCCCTCCATGTGTCACTAATTCTGAAAGATTTTCCTTCTAGTAATGAATTGCCTCAATGGGACTGGGGGGCTGGGGGAGGGGTGTAAGAGCAAAATAAAACTAGCCTCCCTTTACCCACTAGCCCTCAGGGGAAACTAAATCAAATATGTATTTGAGGCACCATCCCTTAAAAAATCCCATCAGCATCTAATGGGCTTAATTCGTCCACAGGAACATTAATTCCTGAAAATTCTACATTTCCCTTCTGCTCTGGTTCTCCATTTAAAAGGGCAGGTAAAATGAAAACATAACAAGATTTACTAATTTTTTTGTTCCTTAAAAACTGAACTTTGATTTTAATCTAGAAGTCCAAGTACATTTAATATAGCAATCCTCTGTTCAATCCTCTGGATGCATTAAAAAAAAAAAAAAACCCAAGTGCACTGCCATCCATTTGAAGTAGTGAGTCACAGGTAAATCATCCACTACCATCAAGGAAAGGAAGAAATGGGGGAGGAGAAGTGGTGGAGAAAGAATGTGGGAGCACTCCCTCCAGCTGGGTGAATGTGGGAGCACTCCCTCCAGCTGGGTGAATGTGGGAGCACTCCCTCCAGCTGGGTGAATGTGGGAGCACTCCCTCCAGCTGGGTGA